ATAAAAACATAAGTGATGTTTTGGATGGCCAAGATGACATTTTTTTATTGTTTAAGAAGTAATATACATTGTAAAAAAGTTTTGGATCGATCGGAGATCATTCGGGGGGGTCAACGGACCACCGCCATCGGGCAGACGAGACGGTGGACCGACGACGGCCAGAGGCCTGAAACGGCGCCAGTTAAACTACTACCATTGGTTCCGGTGAAATACACTACCAAACGGCGTCGGTCAGGAAGTGAATCGGTGCCAGTCAGGAAGTGAACCGGCGGCGGTTTGGCTGCTGGTTCCAGGACCGTTTTTTGGAAAATTGCGAAACGATGTGTGGTTCAAGGTAGAATCGGCCTCGGTCATCCTATATATGTATATTTTGCATGGAATTGCATGGAATATGATATTTGAATGCTAAGGCATGATATTTGATGATAAAATGCTAAGGATCGGTTTAGTCGTTAGTAATGATATGATATAGACCCTATCTAGTATGATATGTGGTAGATCATAGGTCGGGTGGAGTATCCGGGATCGGGTGTGTATCCTCAAAACTCGGTTAGGTCGGATGGAGTACCCACGGATCGGGCATGTATCCTCAAAACTTGGTTATGTCGGGTGGAGCACCCAAGGGCCGAGCGGTGTCCTCAAAACTCGAAATATAATAGGGTGGAGTACCCAAGGATCAGGCATGTATCCTCAAAACTCGGTTATGTCGGGTGGAGTACCCAATGATCGGGCGGTGTCCTCAAAACACATAGATTACAGTCTAGCAATTTAGGATCGGGCGGTGTCTTTACAATACCTCATTTGGACTAGAAGGAGTCCTATACACTCATAAGTACATGAGTGGGTTGGGATCTTAAGTCAAGGACTTAGATTACTATTATATCTCAAATAAACAGTGACCTACGGGTCGGGTATTTTCCAAGTGTATATACTGATATGTATTTCAAAACTTGGGGAAAAGAAATATATGTGTATGTATCACCCTATGTTTGAGTATTATACTTGAAACGTTAGTTATGCTACAATATTCAGCTGACTGCTCGCTCGTTATTCGCATATTGGGCCCTTCGGGGGCCCACTATTTCAGGTTGAAGTTAAAGCTTGATATATGCACCTTGCTCGTTGAAGTGAACTCGAGGAAGACGTGGTTCGTGTTTCCTTTACTGTTTTCAAACTATAAACTATGCGCATAGATATTTTGTAACGGACACATTATTTTGGGCATGCGAGCCCACATTTTGCCATATGTGGCCCATGATTGACTATTGAATATTTCCGCTATTCATTCGATCTATATTGTGATGTTGTTATGTATGTTACTTACTCAGTATGGTATGAACAATGTTCATGGACGCCTTGTAAAATCGAGTGAGTGTGACTCGAGGGTGACATCACTCAACTCAATGATACGGTGGTTGTACATGCGCTTAGATGCGGTCTGGAGTGTGACACCTATAACCGCAACACACCACACAACAACCAGCCAAAACTCATTGCCCCAACCAAAAAAACATAGCCCCATCCAGAAAACCACCGCCCCGACATCGTGCACTCATTCCCCTACACACAAAAAATCTGAAACTGAGTCATCGTTTGGTCGAACAACAACACCGGCAAAGACGAACGATCTAGCGCTCCAGATTTGGATCTAGCGGCGACAACGTTTTGGGAAAAGAAGAAAGAAGAAGAAGTTGAGCAAAGTTGTGGCAGCGGCAAGCGATGACCATCGATAGACAGACGGAGGTGTGGTGAATATGGAGCCGTTCGGTGATTCTACTAGTCGGCTAAGCTAGGCAGTGGTGCATATTGCTGTTGGTGGAGCTAGATAGCGGTGCAATTGCTATCAGCGAAACTAGAATAAGACATCGCATCAAGGAAGGTGGGCTCGAGGTGAAGCCATGGTGGGCCCCGGCAGGCTTAGGGCATTCATATCAAAGAAGACATGGATGGAACAGAGACGCATGCGTGAGTGATCGAGGCGGCATATATTGTAGGAGGTTGTGTCTGAAAGATGTGATACGCATGTCGGTTAGGGTTAGGGGCCTATTCATTCCTTATTTAGTCATTCTTTTGTCCACTTCAAATATGGTCACATGTTTGTCTAATAAAACTCTAGGAGTAATATCCCAGTCATTATTTCAACTTAGTTTACACAATTACTATATTAATTAATTCTTTTTTGTGATTATGATTATATTCAATTTTACATTGTAATGATCATGAGTTCATACTCATAATATCTTTAGTGCTATTTTTGTCCCTAATTTTTGTTTGAGTAATATTATAGGAGAAATATCATTATAAATGAATGATCTAAATTCTAAACTATGGGTGGCATACACACAATTAACCCGGTGCGGATCAAGAAAGGACAAATATCAATCAAAAACGACAACCGTATTAAGCATTTCACGCTAACTTTAACACCTTACATTTAGAGTCCGTTTAGTAACACTAAAGTTGGTTGAATCGATTGATTTTGCTGAAATTAATGAAATTTTTGCTAAACGACTGAATCTACTAAATTATGAAAAAAAATCTATTCCACGTACATTTTTTTTTTGAACGGAAACTTGCCTCTATTCATATCATAAGTTTCAGGATCATTACATCAATTAAAGGAAAAACAAAACGGACACCAACTAAACTCCAACAACTATGACTATAAACCCTATGATCAGGCTTAGATACGGTCACCCCTGAAAGAGCAACACGAATCGCTAACCATGCAGCGGGCTTGACACAGCCATCTCTGTTCCCATGGATCCAAACATAGCCAATGACATAAAAGGAGGCTAAATTCCCAAACAAACTGACAAACCTAACAACATAGACGGTAACAAGAAACCAAATGATTATAAAATAAAAACTAATAGGAGGAGGACGAAACAAGAAAAAAACTAAATAAGCAAAACAAGTATCTTGAACCCTAGCACCTCGTTCATCCACTGGCGGTGGTTTATCGTTATGATTGTTGACACAAACGAGGCACAACTCTCGTCCGTCGCTTGATTGATTCCCTGGCCTGGCGCGCAACCTCCGTCTGCCACGCAATTTCAGCCCCTCTGGACGCCTCCCTTTCTCCCTCCCTTGACTCCCACAACTCCTTCTCCATCGGCTGCCATAGCACACCTAGCGATATTCCTGCGAACAATTCCTTCTCTGCTAACCTAATCGTCGCTCCAAAGGATGACTAGATCTAAACGCTGCACACAAGACGACAAAACTGGAACCCTTATTCAAGGGAGACGGTCGCATACGCCCAAGGGTTTTTATCCGCTTTTGGATTTACGTACATTTTATTAATAAAATAAAGAAAAAGTATATAGAAAATAGTTAAAATGGTTCTCTATAATAATTTCAGACAATTCAACCAAAAAAGTAACTTCAACGACACTTAATTTGATTGTGAAATTTATCAAACTAAGACCTGAGAGATGAGTTCAATATCAATACGGGACCCGAAAGATAAAATGTGTCTGATGGAGTATATTCCCATATACTCCAAGGGTATCATAATCGCCGGCATAAGCATCACGTATCCATCCCGGAGTGCATAAAAATACTTAGTCCACAACTGGGGCCGATCCCGACCCCGACCCACCAAGGTCGGGACAAAGCGCCAGGCAGCGAAATAACTAAGGACTGAAGGACGAGCCGACCTCGACCTTGACTCCCCGATGTCGGGAAAATACCAAGCTTAGGAACCACTCAAACTCGATAAGTTATGAGCCCGACCTCGGATGCACCGAGCTCGGCACCGACTCTGACCTCGGGCGTCAACATAGAGTCAGACAAAGGAGTCAACAATCTCAAAGACGGAACCAGAGACAGAGGACTTATTCCCCAGCGATGAGCCCGAGTCTCCAAATATTGACCTCAGTGAGCTCAGGATTTGATCAAGGCATTATGGACTTAGACAAATATGCGAAGAAAAATATCACAAAAGAATATTGCCACGTCACTCATGGCAGCGGGCAATATTCCGGATTACACACGTGTAACCACACAGACATTCAGGTAGCAGTTTGTTAGGGGCAGTTCCAATCAGCCAGCTATCCCAGACTATCTCTCCAATCACATTTACACGTGGATGCTCCCCATCGACTTAGACTGATTGTTTGTTAGAATAGATTGGACACACATCCTCTTCTTATTAGTTCAGCATCTTTTTACTTGGGCACGAAGTATTGCCTTTTCAGTATAAATACCACCTTCCAGCTTGTGGAAAGAGATCACATTTTTGTATTCTCTTGCTGTTACTCTGCTAAAATATTTACCTGAACTTTCCGATCAACTCTTCTTTCTTACTTACTCGGATTCCGGCTACCCCTGAGTCGGTGATCCATCAGTGTCAATGTATGACTCGAATGATTGAAACACTATCAATCTAAGACCTCAAATATCGTAGATTTTGATCTATTTAATTTTTATTATTTCTGCTGCTAATTTTTTATAGTTTTTTCTTTACAAAAGCTTATTACTTTAATGTGATTTAATAATATATAATTTTTTAAAATAAAAAATATTAAAATTAATGTAATTTTAAACTTTAGATCGATAGTTTTTGATCATTACGAGGATTATTAGCTAAATATAACCCCAACTATCATGAAATTCACAAATATATCCCATATTTTCACTTTTATTAAAAAAGAATCAAAATTCAATTTTTCTCATAATTACACTTTCAATGGATGAATTAGTGAAAATCAAGAAGAAAACTACTCCGTATATTTATATTTTATATTTTTTCACTTCTTTCTAGTTTTAAGTTTACAAAATTGTATTGCTTATATCTTATTGATATTGATAAAAATTTGTAATTTTGAAAAAACAAACAAGAGAAACATAATTGTTGAAAAAGATGAAGTTTGAGTTTTTTTTGATAAAAATGAAAGTGTAGGATAAATTTGTAAATTTGATAATAATTTAAGATAAAATTTATTAACCCTCCTTAGTCCTTACAATTGTATATGACTTTATTCATTCTGATCCTTGTGATGTTAGAAGCCCATAATAATCTCCAGAAACTGGAATAAAGGGCGCTGATCGGTGATTTAGCGGCGTACAGTCACAACTCACAACAGCTGCACGACAATGGCTCGATTATTCATCCTATCCATTTCTCTGGCGGAGTGGCAAAAGATGAAGATGACACATAGCTAGGAGCGATCATCACCGTAACCCACCGCTCGGTGCTGGACTGACGTATGATTTCCTTCTTTACCATCTTTTTAAGCCTCCCCCTCCCCCTCCCCGGGTGCAGAACACTCATCCTCATACTCCGAGTTAGAACCAACTTCTTCGTTTTGTTTATCCGGCCGGATCTTCATTTCCTTTTCGTTTTGTTGATAAATGGCTTCTATTGCAGCAATCCAACTTCAAGAACAGGAGATTCCGCCTCTGCTTCACAACAGGAATGCACGGTCGGCACCATCAGATTCAAGCCGGACCCCGGAAAGGGTTAAAGCCGCTGACTTGGAAGCTGGTTCCTTGGCGATTTGTAGGATTTGCTTGGAATCTGTTGTAAACGGTGGTAATACTAGTGGTGCACATTTATTTGTGTGATTGTATCATGTCTTAAATGTGTGATTGTTACCTATTGAATATTTGTATGAACTTATTCACTGTTTTTTGTTTTGTTTGGGATAAATAGAGGCCTCATAGCATAGTTAGTGATTAAATTGATAAATACCTGTTTTTCTCTTGATCGAGCTAATCCCTCCCCCCTGTTTCAGGCGAGAATGTCATATCTCCATGCTTATGCAAGGGTTCACAACAGTTTGTGCACCGTCAATGTCTAAACTCTTGGCGGTCCATAAGAGTGAGATATACACATTCGTACATACTCGTAGTTCAATACCATGGATTATTATATTTAAATGTGAAGTTCTTATGTGATTGATATAATTATGTGTGTGTAGGAAGGATTTGCATTTTCGAACTGTACTACCTGTCGGGCTTCATATCATCTGCGATATGTAGAGTTAGAGGACAAACCTTGGTGGAATATGAAGCACCGAATACTTGTGGCCAGGGATGCCTTCATTATGTTTGTGTGTGTACAGATTGTAAGTGATATGTTTAGCCATACATTTACTTTTCTCATGTTATTTAGTTTTATACTCAAAAATGTCAACAAAGCCAGAAACCCATAGTGTGGACTGGAGCCTTCAAAACTGACTTTTAGACATAAATGAAGAATTAGATGCTATGCAATTTCCAAGAAGACCACATTTGTTTTCTAATGCTAGTGACACTTCCCTTGATAGTAAGTATGTAACTATGTAAGTAACTAACTACCAAAAGGTTTTAATGCCAAAAATGTATTGCACATAAGGAGTGCATTTTCTAGGACATTTTAAATAATATTCGGTATATGGAAATCACATTTCCAAACATCTTTACTCTTTCGGAAAATGCATTTCAAATTCCCCTTTTTATATTTTAAATGTTCTTTAATAGTACTTGTATTATTAGGTATTGTTATGTTAAATTTAATAAAGACGAACAAGTGGAACAACTGCGAAAGCATTTGCCAAATTTGACACTTATGGTATTAATAGGATGCCTTGGATTTATTTCTTAACTTAATGGATTCTTACCTTTGTATCTTTACCATTACAGCTGATTGGGGTGTTTGGTACCCTTGCCGGTTTCATGGATAGAAATGGAAGTTTTCGGGATGCATTTAATGACTCTCGGAAGCAAATATTTTCTAGACATCCGGTTTGCTTCTATTACAGTACAGGTGTGTATTTCCACACACTTCAAACAGTAATCTAGGACAATCAAAAGATTAAAATCTAAAGCTAAGGGATAAAATTTTGCGAGGCACATTTTTTTGTAATTGAGTATAACTTTGATATTGTGAATGGAACAGGAGCAATTGCAGTTTTTCTTCTTGTTGGGATTATTGGTTTTGCATATCATTTATGGGCTATCGACACTGAGAACAGGGAAGAGTTCCGGAATGCATGTTTGGGTTGGATTATTTTGGAATGTTTTTTGGCATCATCAGAAACATTCATTCCTCTGGCTCTTGCTTTAATATCTGCCTTTACTATTTTTGGTGTTGCATATGGTTACTTTTTGGGTACATTGGCCTACCATAAAAGCTGGCAGAAACACCGTGATGTTCTCTCAAAGCGAAGCCTTACAGAGGTCCATTTCACCTTTCTTGATTTAAATAACAAGGCAGTAGAAGTAGCATGTCATGTAGCAGTTCATATTATGTTTTTCTCTTTGACCATTGAATGTTGGCCTACCCCAAAGTCTTTTGGGACTAAGGCTTGGATGTTGTTGTTGACAATTGAATGTTGCAGGAGTACATAGTGGAGGATCTTCATGGCTATTACTTTGCACCACCAAAATTGGACCCTGAACATGAAGAACGCTTGAGAGCACTTAAACTTATGTAGGCATGCAAAGTTGGGTGATTTTCTCTTTGAGTATGTGATTAATTTGTTTTGTAGCAGCCGATTAGTTGTTTAAGTTAACCTATTTTGACATGGTTAGTTCATAGAGGGGGAAGTTGAGAACCTGTTTATGTCATTTCATGGTTCTTGCCAGTGAACCTTTTCCTTTCATAGAATTATAGATGATGATGAATATTACCTTTTAAATAACAATGCACCCATTTGTAATGTTTTGTTTTATTTGAAGAGATAGAAAGTCATTTAGTGTTTCGGCATCTCAATATTTGAAATTGCAATTGATGTCTCGAGTTAACATATCGTTATGGAGGTGGGGCTGGGGCTATAGATGTTAGATCACATTTCCTTCCCTCATATGGTAGTGTAGAAATTCATTTGGCATTCGTGGTATGAATGTCTCCTCATGTTCAATGCATCAGTCTTGTGCTTGTTTGGTGAATGTTCCTCACCAAACTTGTTCTTCTCACACACACATGAATGGCTCACGCAAACACAGTTTAACTCTAGTAGGAACTTCCCTAGTGTACGGTTTCAACTCCTGTGAGAACTTCTCCTAGTATGCTGTAGAAGCTATCAGCTATTAGCAATGCTTGTTCCAGTGCAGGAATTTGAAAAGCTTGTAGCTCACGAAATAACCCAAGAGTTAATCATAAATACAATTTTCAATCACATGCATAGTGCATACATAATCACAAGAGAATTATGATATTAATTAATTAATTATAACATGTTTTATGAGCACTTTTGGCACTGGTTTTGTTGTATACTTTCTCAAACTCGTGTCCCACCATGTTTATTCATTGCCACAAGTTAGCATACAAATTATGATATCCACCTTTTTATCTGTGAAGTGTGGAGCCATTTTTCCTCTCTAATTTAACAAGATGCTTTAGATTAAGTATCAGATCATCTCATAAGCTCCAATAAATTATCTAAGAAGTCAGAAAATATCTAAGAATGTCTAAATTAGTTTTTCTGTATGCTAAAATAGTACATCCATGATCCTATTCCATGATAGAAAAAACATGAATATTAGCAGGTTTATGTTGGCCTACGTAAAGAACACTGCCCCAAAATCTTTACTCGTAGTTACGAACTTGCGTCTAGCGTCTACATCATATATGATATTTTGATGCGGGAAGTAAATCAGTGCTAGTTCACACACCAGTGCATTGCATTTTCAGTTGTCTCCATGGTGTTGAATGTGCCTTCCCACATTTTGAATACAGTAAAATTCCAACCTAATTTCTTCTGTGTTGTTCAAGGAATGCCTGAATATCTTGTTGTTGTAAAACTCCATCCTTTTCAAATGCTGATTCCATGTTTCAACTTTTATGGCAATGACAATTCTTAGATTCTTGTGCTTGACATTGACCATAAAACATGTACAAATTGCCCTAAATAGGAGTAAAAACGTTTTAAAATTCCAAAATAGGAGTATCATGTTTTTTATTCCTTGAATAGGAGTAATCTGACAAGTTTGAAAAAAAATGTCATGTTTAAATGCCTAGTAATACCAAACTTGGCAGAAATTTTATTCCTATTTAGGGAATAAAAAACATGATAGTCCTATTTTGGAATATCAAAACCTTTTTACTCCTATTTAGGGAATTTACTCTAAAACATGTTGACTATCTACTCCACTCGCCGGCCGTGTTAGATAAAAAGATTCTAGATTATTTTTTTTTTAGCTTTTTCAATGTGAATTATTTGGTCTTGTAATTTTGATCTTAGTGTATGATATCGAGACAGCCATTCAAACTAGCTAAGTTAACTGTAAAATCCATATTTTCAAAAAGCTTGCTTAGGAAGTTGTTGAGACTACCTCTTGGAAAAGCGTTTTATGAACATTTTATACTCAAAACAGCTATATAAACCGCAAACTTAGAGTAGCTATGCTAAAGAACAACCAGCTTACTTTCAAACATGGCCATTATCAGATGCCATTTCTTAGTGTTATATATTCATTCAACAGGAATGGAAGTGTTCTTGTATTTGACAGTCCTTTTATGTGAAACAGTACTAGATCATAGATCTCACTATCCTCCCATCCAAAACGGCAAAAGCAGATGATGCGGCTTTCCCAACTACTCCCTCCGTCCCGAATTGAATTGTAAACTTTGATCGGCAAAAGGATTAAGGAATGACAATAAATGATGTTTCCTTTTTACACTTTTGTCAATCTTCCTAAAAGTAGATATCTTTAAGTAAATGGGGAAAGTGGAAAATCATTTTGGGAAGGGTAGATTTGTCACTTTATTCTTATTTACATACCTAAAATAGAAAGTGAAAAATCATTTTGGGACAACCAAAATAGGAAATTTTGCAAATCAAATTGGGACGGAGGGAGTATAACTTATCATCTTCTTTATTTTCTATTTTACTTCGGTGTGTAAACTTGCTACATAAAAAACCTCTAAATTCTTCAAGATTTCATTTATATGCAACATTTTGGTCTCGTTTCGGGTTTCATTGTGATTGCTTATGATTAGTCATTTCAATCCTTCTATTTCGTTCCACGTTCCACGTTCAATCCTTCTAGGAACCGGCCCGGGCCGGGGCCGGTTCAATACTTAATTTTTTTTTTTTTGCTTTCTTGTTATCCTCCGACCCCCCCTCACCCCCACCCCCCAAACCTCCCCAAAACACCCAGCCCAACCCTAGGGAAAGAAAAAAAATTGAAAAAACAAAAACAAAAAAAAATTGACCCGGGCCCGGCCCGTACCGCCCGGGCCGGTTCGCCCAAAATTGGGTCCGATCCCGACCCGCCCACACGGGCTAAAAGCCCGGAACCGGCCAACCGGGCCCGGTCCGGTCTGGGCCCACACAGTAGCGGGCCGGTCCGGTTCCGGGCTGGTTCGGCCCGGCCCAGTCCATCCCTACTTCCACCGGTCGAAGTGCACATATGATTGTATTAAGATTTTATTTCAAATATAATTACTTAACATTTATGAGCAAATACATATTTATACTTATGATCAAATAAAAAATTATCGCCGCTCAGTTCAACTGACACATTTATAAAATTAATAACCAGGATAAGTTAGTAAACTTGTTCTGGTTAAACTATTCTCACTGATGCAACTGGAGAATAGCCGTTCGCAACAACACCTGCTTCCGAACAGAAGAAACAATGATAGATAAAAACCTTAAGTTTTGAAAAAAAAAAGGATGACACCCCATCCTTAAGGCCTCCAACCCCGACCGGACGGTACATTGGGAAGATGTAAGTTGTCCTTGATACTTGCAGAGGCCCTATGTATTTTTAGATGTCATATCTATGTAAAACTCTTGTAGCATTCCCTCGCTACCACTTGAGCTACGCTCACTGGTTAAAAACTTAAGTTTTGATTTACGTAATGTTAGCGTCTTTGCAAAAGTCATGGAAAGTGCTCATGGCAGATTATAGAGTTCTATTCTTAATTATACGATACAGTCTTTGCTTAATTATAGGTTGAAGTTGAGATTCTGAAGTTCAAATGGCTACTTTAACTATTATTAAAATTAAGATGCGGCAGGGAGATATCTTTAAGAAGAATATTCGGGGGAAAAGTTAATAGTATGAAAATGGCGAGTATTAATGCTTTGGTATTAACCGATGAATTGTGCTGATTTTGGTTAGAAGAATTAGCACGTAAATGTGGATAATATAGTACTCCGTAGTATATGTGTGATTTATTACCTGATTCATGGACAGAATCTTGAAAAAGGTTTAAGAAGAGTTAATTTTGATTATAGTCAGGGAAATGTACAAAGTTTGTGTGAAACACAGCTTTTTTAATTGTTAATTGGTATTGATTTTGAGATTATCCTCAAATTTTCAAATCTTAAACACTAGTCTACAGCCCTACAAGTCTTCTGTTATCCCTCTATTTTCAAAGAGGCGTAAGTAGGGATGGACCCAATCGGGCCAAACCGGCCCGCTACTGTGCGGGCCCGGACAGGACCGGGACCGGATGGCCAGTTCCGAGCTTTAGCCTGGTTTGGGCGGGCCTGGTGGGCCGGGCTCGGGCCTTAATTTTCATGAACCGGCCCGGGCAGTCCGGACCAGGCCCGGTTCATATATATTTTTTTTCAATTTTTTTCTTTTCCTTGGGTAGGGCAGGCCCGACTGGGTGTTTTGGGGAGGTTTGAGGGGTTGGGGGTCAGGGGTTAATTAGAAAGCAAAAAAAAAATATACATTGGACCGGCCCAGTCCAATTTGGCCCAGACCCGGTATCAACCCGGGCCAATTCCGGGCCGCCCAACATCCTGAAAAAAAGCCCGGATTGAACCGGTCGGAGCCCGGTCCATGCCTAGGTGTAAGAAACACTACTCTACTCAATTTTCAATTTTTCATGTTTGAGATAATATTTGGATTGTTATACGAGTATCTTTTAGTCTTCGATATTCTAACAAACACTAAATTCATTTTAATTTAGCCATTTCATTACATACTTATGGTTCCAAAGATCGACCTAGGTGCCCGCCTAGGCTTCGCCTAGTTGCTAGGGTGGTCGGGTGCCCTCATTTCGTGGTAATCGTTTGAAAAAATCGATCGACCACCTAGGCGGGCTAGTCGAGGGTTAAGCGGTGACTAGGCGACCCGAACTAAATTTCTTCCCGATCCAACTTTTTTTTCATTTTTTCTTAAAACACCGTTTGATCAACAAGTCTTCTATTCCTATAAAATCATCTATTCTATTCCCACATCAAAAAATAATTTTTATATGAACAATTTTCAGACTAGAACGAACAAATCTCTCATTTATGATTTATCTAGTCATTATTTATTTTTGAAAATTCTACTACAAAAACCACATCATATAGTGATCGTATGCGCTATTTCTATTGTAAAAGTATTATAAAATTATTAGTAAAGATTTTTGAAATTCATTAGAAATTTTAAAAAATAGAGGAAATGTCTAGGCGTCCGCTTAGGCGTGCTATGCGCTAGACGGCCAGTCACTGCCCGACTAGTTCCTAACGCCGGAGCCGACCCAAGGGGAGGAGAATCAGTCCCATTGCACAGAGCCTCAAAAAAAAGAAAAATTGGACATGATAATCACAACTATTAGTGATATGCGTGAAATAATCTCGGGTATCAATTTTCTCAAAATAATCCCAACTATTGAAAAGAATTCTCAAAATGTTTTAGGGGGTGTTTGGAACTGATTCAGATTTTGCTTCGTTTTTAAAGCAGAAGCAGAATCAGAATCAGTTTTCAGAAGCTAGTCACCCCTAGCTTCTAAAAAACTGATTCTAGGAGTAAATTAGAGCATCAGAATCACTTCTGCACTTTTACTCAAATACTCCAACTTCTGCTTCTGCTCCCTGAAGGAGCAGAAACATTTTTAAGAATCAAATCCAAACACCCCTTAATGACTTAAAATAATCCTTAAGTTGCTTATAATATGTATGAACCAACGGAGCATTTTTAAATTTTTTTCTAATAGTTAAGATTATCTTGAGATAATCAATAATTATTTCTAATAGTTAGGATTATTCACCAATAATCAAAAGAAACCCAAAAATAAAAATTCGGTAATAGTATCATGGAGTAGCCCAACTTCAAAACGGAGAAAGCCAGAGCTCTGTGAATTGTGATTCAACGAAACCAACGATTGAACGAAGCCCTGCGTTGACTCGTCGAGGGCAGTCACCCAATCCGCAGGCCGCAGCACGGCAGCAGTCTACCAAGGGCCAAGGCGACCTCCGTCCTCCGTGACCTCCGTCTAGGCCTCTAGGTCCCCCACCGCAGCACGCCAGCAGCCAGCACCGCAGAGCTGAGATGAGTGGTTGGCATCTGAAAGTCTTCAAAGATGGAAGCTTTAACATTTATGCCAAATCACACACTCTTCACTTCGGGAGAAGATTTTCCTTGTGGTCTATGAAGAAAGACCCAGAGCTTGAATCTGCATTATGCAGAAACCGCCGGTGGATTGTGAATAATCAGATAAAAAATATAATCTTGAGATATCCAGACCAGGTGGCCCCCGTTAAGTTCCTCCAGAAGAAGTTCAAGAGTCTTGATCTCCAAGGGAAGGCCATGAATTGGCTGAAGAAGTACCCCTGCTGCTTTGAGGTTTTCCTGGAGAAGGATGAGTACTACTGCCAGCTCACCAAAAGAATGATGTGTTTGGTCGAGGAGGAAGATTCCATGAAGGATATGCAGGAACCTGTGGTTGCTGAGAGACTAGCTAAGCTGTTGATGATGAGCCGTGACCAGAGGCTGAATGTTACGAAGCTTAACGAGTTAAAGAGAAACTTTGGATTTCAGGATGATTATTTACTTAGAATCATACCCAAGTATGATAAACTTTTTAGAGTTGTCAATCACACAGGGAGGAGAAGTTCAATGGAGATTGAGCTCATATCTTGGGATAAAAACCTAGCAACCTCTGCAATTGAAAGGGTATCACAAATAAAGGGTCAAGAGCCACGATTCTCATGCTCTTTGCCTGAAAGTTGGATGAAATCAAGGGAAAGGTTTGAAGAATTCAACTCAACGCCTTACATTTCACCTTATTCAGAACATAAATGTTTGGCAGAAGGCTCATTAGAGATGGACAAGAGAACAGTTGGGCTGGTGCACGAGTTACTATCATTATCCTTGTGGAAGAAAGCGTCAATTGTCAAGTTTGGTCATTTTAGAAGAGAGTTCAGCATGCCTGAGAAACTAAACATCTTGTTGCTCAAGCATCCTGGTATTTTCTATGTTTCTAACAGGTACCAGATTTATACAGTTCTTCTTAGGGAAGCTTACAACGGATCTGAACTCATTGAAAAGGATCCTCTTGTAGTTGTGAAGGAGAAGTTTGGAGAGCTAATGCAAGATGGGCTGCATGAGTACAACCGGCGGCACCACTTGATGAATTTAGAGAAGAAGAGAAAGAAGGGAATGGTTGAAGCGAAAGAGGTCAGAAGGAGTAATGGAAATTGTGAGAGTTCGGAAGAGGGAGATCAAGTAGGTGGAGATCTAGGGGGAATATTCGACTCAGAAGAAAGGAAACGATTCTATAGAGCTCTCTTTGATGACAAAACTCCATAGACCTAAGACCATAATCTGTTAGTTTTTCCTGGGTACATAGGGGCAATGTAGCTGACCCCAAACTCTTTTTGGGATAAGGCTTGGATGTTGTTTCATGTCATGTGACGTGACTAAGTGATATTGTTGTCCGTCACGCGCCTACCACAACACCCTCCTCCTTTATCCTGGCTTGGGACAGGCATGATACCAAAAAAATGATCTCATGCCGGAGTTGTTGTTGTTGTTTGGATGTTGTTGTTGTTGGTACATAAGGGAGATGCTCTTTATCAATGAATACCGTGATACTCTATAACAAGTCCATGTTGCCAAAGACTTGATCCAGCTTAATAATAACTGTCTTTAGTTTATGCATAAGGTCGGGCATTTGCAGAAAATTGACCCCCCCGTCCCACCCCTTAAAATCATTTAGAATAGTGACTCACTATTCTAATCAAACTGAGTCGTTTCAGGTTTTCACCCCTTTTGCAATCAAAAAGAGTACTAAGACTTGATGGGTAATTGGCTATAAACTGCTCCGGTTACAGTACCTTTATAATGAAGACTTGACCAGCTACTTTTGGTCACCAATGCCTAAAGTGCTTTGAAAAGTCTGCTGCAGAATGGGATCAAGACTGACGGTTTAACATGACAGGTACATACGCTTTAGCATCGGTGAAGGTTTCATCCTAATGGGGGTTTGGAACATGCCAATGCAGAACACGACTGCAAATGCCTGATTAGATTTGCTGACATTTATATTCTAAATAAATATCAGAGCAAAACTACATTTGCAATGTGTCATGTGTTCTGAAATATTCAAAAGGGATCTAGTTGGGATAAAAAAAGACATTTGTAGGTATCTATTTAATCTAAGCACTAGAGTAAAAATACATTGCACTACAATCGCATGGCATATTAGTTGTGTCATGTGTTCGGCTCATTTTCAATTCACCTTCGTCTTACATCACTATTCACTAGCCCCTCCTCCCTAGTGGTGTACCCGGGCCAGTTCCGGTATGGCTCTTGACCGGCTAATTCCCGATCCTCCACCACCTTTACCGTAGTCCAGAACCGGAATTTACAGGTAATGTCCGGTTTTAATACACATGAAAGAATAAAATAATCTGGAATGAAACAGGTCTCGTCTGGTCCCATTCTGGAGGAAGTGAGGAACCAGAACTATACCAAGTTGGGCTGATTTTTGTCCGATCTGAAGTAATCTGGCTCTAGTCCAGGTGATCTACCTGACCAATACTGGAACCGGGTTCTCCCCCACTAGTCCCTAATAATCTGTGACTAAAAATTAATTAAAATTGAACCTATCCAGACACTCAAAACTAATGATTGATCTCTTGATTGTAAAACATTGTAGTGCAGTTGGGTAGATTGTTATTGACAACAATGACAAGGATATACTGATTATACATACTATAAACAGGTTCTCACATCCCCCTAGGTTCCCACCTCCCCTCGACTTACGAACCAGGCATGTCGAGATAAGTTATGAAGTTATCTTCTGTTATAGAAAAACTAATCATTCATACACAAAAAGAATAAGTTTACATAAGTTTGAGCAATCTCATGTGCTCTTCAAGTTCAGGATCCACTTTTGGTGCTCAGCCATGAGGATCCTCCACCATTTACTCCTGCGACATTCAGTTTGCAGAATGAATAAGAATTATGATCAACTACATGAATATGCACAAAATTAGTGAAATACTTCCGTATCATAATACGTATTTCAAATTTACTACTTTCCCGTTAAGTAATTGAAGAGGGGTGAAATGAACCTCCACAGGGCTTTGCATCTATAAAATGTAATGCTGCCTCTGCCAGCTCCTGTGGAGGGTCATTGTAGCCACACAAAATTCATACAACAGCAAAAACTGTAAAGACAGATATTATAGTAAGACCTCGGGCACGAAAGCTTTTGTTGAAGTCTTAAAAAAATAGAAGTATAAAAAATAAGTCATTCAGTCCATTGTACTCTCAGCAATGCAGATACACAAAGTTTATAGAAGAATAAGCTGTATTGAGATTTAAAATTCACCCAAAAAGAACAAAGAGTTTCATTTAACAATAACCATAATCGAGAAGGGTATTTTATTTTAAATTTTGCACGGAGTAATTAGTATCTAAAAATTGTGTTTTAGTGATAATAATGATGATGAGTGTTTTAAAGGTGTGGAAATGCATACCTGAGCTGCATATTGGCTGGAATAGAAGAAAAAGTGATGTTTAGACAAGATGCTCTCCCAGGACTTATTAAACACATTCCAAAAGTTTCTATCTCTACAGATGATTCTTGTAAGGTCACAAACACTACAATCAACTTGAATGGTAAGACCCCTAAATAACAATCCAAAATAGATCCATCTAGTACCAGAAACTTCATATTCATTCAGTTAAACAGTACCATACCAATTCAAGCAACCATTCAACCTTCACAAAATCTTAAAGGGAACAGTTGAAATGTGATAGTCCCAAAAGGGGACATTGTTTCAATTTTTCAGAAGGTGTCTTCCATATAAAGAGTTTTTAACTTTTTATATGTATAAAAACATCTAAGAAAAGGGACGTCAACATGCGAAATTCTTTGGCATCTTAACTGTTTTATATTAACATGTAGAGGCATTGCAAGTTGCATTTTTTAAATACACAGCTTGGCACAATGTATATGATACTTTTGGAAGTTGCCTAGAATCCACACATGCATTCTAAAACTGTAAAACATATGCAACTATGAGAATTAAGTGCATGTGATGCTTCGTATATTCTTTTATTTTACCAGTAACACTTTGGATAGGTCCCAACTAGAGATTTTTGACTTCAAGTCTCAAATTTAACACGGCGAACAGAAAACGAGGAACACGTCTTATGGTGGGTTGCCCTTTTTGTGTTCTTATAACCACCTTCTGTTGAGAACGAATAATGACATGCCTTTCAAATGAAAAAAGTAAAATGTATGGGTAAACATAATACTCACAAAAGTCACAATCTGTACAACAAAAAACACCGGGAGGGCACAAGCATTCGGTGCTTCAGATTCCACTAAGGCTTGTCCTCTAACTCTACACATCACAGGTGGTATAGAGCCTTACAGGTTGTACAATCTGAAAAACGAATCCTTCCTATACTTTTTATTTTTAAGATAACATATTTAAAGTTGGGCCTGATTGGGAGATCGATCGTTTTAAAGCACGCCTTATGGTGAAAGGGTATACTCAGATATATGGTTTGGATTACACTGACACTTTTTCTCCTGTAGCGAAGATTGCATCAGTTCGTTTGTTTTTATCCATGGCAGCAATGAGCCACTGACCATTGTTCCAATTGGATATTAAAAATGCATTCCTTCATGGAGATCTGCACGAGGAAGTTTATATGGAGCAACCATCTGGATTTGTTGCTCAGGGGGAGCCTGGTATGGTGTGCAGATTACGTCGTTCATTATATGGCTTGAAGCAATCTCCACGTGCATGGTTTGGGAGGTTTAGTGCCGTTGTCTGCAGCTTTGGCATGATTCGCAGTGATGTCGATCATTCTATATTCTATCAACATTCTGTTGGCAACAAATGTATTTATCTTGTTGTGCATGTTGATGACATTGTCATTACAGGTAACGATGATCAAGGAATTACGCTCCTCAAGTAACATCTCTTTAGCAAATTTCAAACAAAATACTTGGGAAAGTTGAGATACTTCCTTGGCATTGAGGTCACTCAGTCTCAAAATGGAATTGCTCTCTCACAAAGAAAGTATGCCTTGGATATTCTTGAGGAAACAAGTTTGCTAGATTGCAGGCCAGTGGACACACCAATGGATCCAAACGTTAAACTCTTATCAGAACAGGGATATCTTTTGCCCAACAAGGAAAAATATAGAAGACTCGTCGGCAAATTGAATTATCTTACCATCACGAGACCAGATTATTCATTTGCGGTAAGTGTTCCTAGTCAGTTTCTTGATAAGGCATGTACTGGACATTGGGATGCAGCTATCCGAGTTTTGAGATACATCAAGAAAACTCTGGGGCAAGGATTGTTGTTTGAAGATCGAGGTGGAAGGAGGCATAGGGCTCATATGCATATGGTGTGTTTTGTGGGATTCTGAAATAAACTTAAAATTTACATTTTGATAAGAATAAAACAATTCATCCAATATTTATCCAATATTTATTAGTTAATTTATCATATGCAATGATAAGTTAACCCAATAGTTCAATGATAAGTTAACCCAATAGTTCATATATTTTATCATATGCAATGATAAGTTAACCCAATAGTTCAATCGATAAGAATAAAACAATTTATCCAATATTTATTAGTTAATTTGATAAACCTATTGATGAGTAATGATCTAAAGAAACTTGGAGGAATAGTGACTCAGCTTCATCAAATCCTCATCAATAGACGCCTGTTCATAATAAGACATTGTCATTTTGACAAAGATCACATAGGGCGGTTCAAATTGGCTATAAAAATAGGTGATGCCCTTTCAAAAAAATGAAGTGATACAAATATTTAATCAAAGAAGTATTATTCTAGAGGAGATAATCGTATATCAGGAGTACGGTCTTCAAAGATTTTCAGATAAATTTTGTCTATAAGGTCAGTACGTTTCTACTCCTGTTTAATTTATTATGTTAATTTCCGTCCCCATTTCCTGTTATGTTATGGGGATGATGGACACCGTATAATTTAGTGATATTTTATGTGTTTGAAAAGTGTATTCTTTGAATTTATGAAATACTATTATTTTTAAATAAATCGTTAATATGTAAAATTTAGCAAAATTAAAATCAGTTATACGTAGTTGAATTAATTAGAAAAATGTTTTTCATAGGTATATGTATATACCTGGCTAACATGTGATTTACGTATTATTAAATAAAGGCTAAACATACATATTTATACATTAGGTATACTAATAAAGTTAGTGTTAGTATGACATATATGCATGTAGCTCATGCTTGTTATACACTTATATATACACGTATAATACCATTATTTTAAAGAAAAATTACTAAAAGGCAATATAGCAATGCATAACGGATATATACTCATAATATGCACGTAAGTATTTAAATATATTACAACGTACATGCATGCATTAGTAATATAACTATTATTGACGTAAGTATAAAATATATACTTCCAACATTATTTCTGAAACACATATAGGCGTAAGATAGTTATATGGGTTACGTTGAACTAATTATGTAAAATACTTGGTTCACTAAATTCATTATTCTTAATAATTATTAAAAATTACTATATAAAAGTAATTGTGAGTAAATAAAGGGTAAACGTCTTAGAAAAGCCTTACTCTTGATTTGGCACCCTGACGTGGGTACTCCTGTTCTGTTAAGTGTATTACGTACACTCCTGAAATTCTGTTTTAGATGTCACCATGATATTGTGGGATACTGTGATGCAGACTGGGCCGGATGTCCGATGGATAGACATTCCACTTCGGGATATTGCATCTTGATTGGTGGAAACTTAATTTCATGGAAAAGTAAGAAACAGGATGTGGTTGACAGATCTAGTGCTGAAGCAGAATATCGTGCAATGGCCCTTGCTACATGTGAAATCTTATGGTTGAAGCATCTCCTCCCCGAGTTAATATATGGAAACACAAAACTGGTTCAACTCATGTGTGATAATCAAGTTGCAATGCACATCGCATCAAATTCGGTATATCATGAGAAGACAAAACATATTGAAGTTGATTGTCATTTTATCCGAGAGAAGATCGCAAGTGGACATATCATCACAAAATATGTCAACACAACTGAACAACTTGCAGATATTTTAACTAAGTCTTTTAGAAGTCCTAGAGTGGGATATATTTGTAACAAGCTTGGTACATATGATTTATATGCTCCAGCTTGAGGGGAGTGTGGAAACCCTAGTAGTATTGGGCTTAGCCCATTTGTATATCTTGTATAGGAAACCCTAGTACTCTAAATATAGCTATAAATATAGCTTCTTGTATAGCATTTTAATATCAAGTATATGAAATACAACAATACTTGTTCACAAGTACGTAGTATGATTTAACTTCCTCAACCAAGAAACACACCAATTTACTTGCACAAACAACTTTTTTAATTTCAAGACAGAAGTTTTACTCTGTATTATAGTGTGATATCTAGTTCATAGAATAAATTTCTTACACACTTTAACATATTGGTACATACTTTTTCCTTGATCTAGTTAATGGGTTGTCTTTCTTGAGTACACTATGTATATATCAGTTCACTCTTGCACCATTCATGCACAATTTGTACACAAGTCATGCACGGCCCTCACCGAATTGGTACGGAAATGAAATAGGTAATGTTATAAGTATGTCCATTTTAGTATCGAGTGACAAAAACTTACGATGACAGAGTTATAGATTTCATGGATGAGTAAGGAATTAGAACCAACGACATGGCTTTGTTTATCTCGTTCTCCATTTCCTTTTCGTGTTGTTAAGAAATGGCTTCTATTGTAGCACTCGAACTTCAGGAATAGAAATTTTCGCCTCTGCTTCACAACCGGGATGCACGGTTGGCACCGTCATATTTACGGCCGACCCCGAAAAAGGTTAAAGTCAGTGACTTGGACGTTGGTTCCTCAGCGATTTGTCGGATTTTCTTGGAATCGGTAGTAAATAATGGTAATACTAGTGATGCACAAGAAAGAGTTCATCATTGTGTGATGTCTTATATTTGTGATTGTGACTTGTTGTATAAATGTTTGACGGGTTTTCTTGGAAAAGGTTGACTAAATAACGAATATGCCATCACATTTTTTATCAATTTTAATGCATTGTTGGCATATTTTGAACCATTTGATCATAAATTGAATGCATCGGATCTTTTCTTACTTTTCATGAGAAGTGCACTTTTTATTTGAACTCATTCCGAGGTTATCAAATCCAAGTTGTCACACATATTTCAGCTTGTTGCACGTTAATCCACACCCACACATACATTTTACTGTTTGACTTGAGTTTAGACTCCAATGCTATTATTATGTGATATAGAAATTTGGAGCATTAACCCCCCGTGATTTAGAAAACGTATCAAACTACTCTGTTGTTATTAATCATGAGCAAAATCACTTTTATAAACAAATTTAATCGTCAAATGAAAGCCAAATGATTAACATTTTTGTATAATGTAAAGATTTTGACAAATTTACTCGCATATGCAATCATAATATTACTACGCATGAATAATTATAACACAAGATGATTTGATGCATTTTTTAAATCATATGTGACTAATGTGCTGAATTTCTATATCACGAAAGAGTGTGATACATTAAACCCAAAAAGAAAAAAAGAATGTGGACATGGCTTCTTTTTTTTGAAGAAAAAAGAGCTTTTTATTGAATAAATAAAAGAGGATACAAATAGAATGTGGACATGGCTATATAACGTGATTGAACTTTAACAAGAACGTCTATGCTCCATATATAGGTACAACTGCTAGCTACACCAAACGGACACTGATGTAATTAGAGACATTTTATGCAACACGTCAACTATACAAGACACAAGGCCAAGTTAAGAACCACTGATATCTTTCATATTGTAATCAATCAAGCCATCCTGTTAAAATTAAGGAATCCAGGACGGGCCTGCCCGCGGGTGTGAAGCTGTTGTTGGACTCCCTCAAAGTTGGCAAAGTGTGTAAAGCTTTGAAGGCCCGACCCTCCTCTACTCGAGCTGTTGTTCCCGTTGTGAGCAGGTTGAGGAGTCTCGCCCGCTTCTATCTTAAGCCGTTGCAATTCTTCCCTCAGCCTCTCATTTAGAGCTGATACATATTCATGTGCAAAAAAAACATTAGAAAACTGCTGAAGGTTGTCAAGTAAGAGGTTATTTGGCTGTAATGACCGATAGTTTACCTAAACAAAAAGTGTTCAGGCAGTTCAGTAAGTCGGTAACATTCACTTTCAGCCAAGTAAGTAAGTCAAAAGCTAGCTGTTTATCCAGCTCCAGCTTATTTGGATCATGAATCATGATCATGGTGATAAACATAATCAAGAAGAACTTGCTACCAAACAACACCTTAGGATGTTTTTACTTAGACTGTTTTCGGTCATAGAGACCGGACAGGACCGGACAAGGCCAGACTTGGATAGTTGTAAAGTACACAGAAACCAGACCAAACCAGCTCAGACCAAACCAGAAAATTCCATAAAAACATCCTTCGTTAAAAATGCAAGACCCTGAAAGTGAGTAGCATACCATCTCTAAGATGGGCTTCTTGTTCGAAAGCCTGCAGCCGCAATTTGAGTTCTTTATTCTCAGAAGTCAGCCCACAAGTATCTCTCTGAACTCATAAAAGAAGTCCATTAGGCCATTACAGGTTTCAATACAAGCAATAAGAATCATTCAAAAAACTAAAGATCTGGTGTGTATATAGTATATACGATATACCTGGAGCCGAGTAATCTGTGCAGAGAGAGTGGTGGCTTCAGTCTGTAAGGTCTGCACTTTCCTTTCCAACTCATTTGTATAGCGTATCTTCCTCTCCTTTGAACGCGCTGCAGATTGCCGGTTTGCCAGGATCCTACATATATATTATATTACTCATTTATAAGTTTATTATCTTGAAGAGTTGCACTGCTTTGTTTGTTGTTGAGAAAAAATTAGTGATTTAGTCCTTTAACTTATGCATGCACTTATTATAAGTTTTACAATTCCACTCATTTGCAGATCATGTATTATTATAACTAAAAAGTTCATCCACATTAAGAACGTTTTCACCAAATTGTACTATTTCACGTCGGCGGCAGGTTTTCAGGTATAACTTTCCGCCGGAAATAGTAAATTCTGGCGGAAATGTCGAACATGATCTGCAATTGAATAAAACTATCGAACTTATAATGGACACAAACATAAATTACAAGATACAGTCGATAATAAATTTCCTTTTGTTGTAGTTTTAAAAAATAATTGAAATCCTCGACCTCTACGTTTTCTCGAGAATTGTGCGACAATTGGGTCCCACTTCAATAGGTGACTATGGTGTGCAAGGCACAATGTTAACATGCATCTAGGAACACTATGTAATAGATACAATAACATATACCCCATATGTTACTAAAATAACAAAAAAGTGATTTGATATAGGTAGTGACTAAAATAGGTGACTTTTAGTTACTATGATTATGTTCAATTTTAAACTACACAAACTATGATGTTACACTCATAGAGTATTAACTTTAGTCACATTTCTGACTTTCTGTCCATGAGTTTGATTTATGGTACTCCCTCCGTCCCAATATTAATTCCTAGTCAAACTTGGCACATAGATTAAAAAGAGAGAAATGTGTGGCCTAAAGTTATGCACAAAAGAAAGAAAGTGATAACAATGATGTGAACCATACATTCTTTGCCAAAAAGGGAAAGAGCGGTTTATATTGGGATGGACGGAAAAGGAAAGAATCAAAATAATATTGGGACAGAGGGAGTAATATTTTAGAAAACTTAGTCACATTTTTGTCCTTGAATTTAACTTTGGTCAATATTAACCATAATGCAATCACATCTACGTGTATATATATAGAATATAAAATTAACCGGTGGGCGTAACTCAACTGGTAGCAAGGGAGTGACACAAGGGTTAGGTCACGGGTTCGAATCCCGGCAACTGCGATGAGGGGTTACTATGCTAAAAATGCATAGGGCCTCTGCAAGTACCGGGATAGAGCCCCACTTTTTTTTTATAGAATATAAAATTACATCATACTAATTCCATATAAAGAAGTATTCCATTCCATTTTACTTTTAACAAACGTTGCCTTAGTGCCTTGGGGGAGACTGGGACCCATGTAGCCCCACACTCCCACTCCTTAGACAAGCAGAACATATACTCCGTACGTGATAAGGTAGGGTCAAGTTAGGGAAGAAAAAAAACAGCCTAGGGACTAGGTGTGTGACTAGGCATGGACTCTTAGAACAGATTTGAAACCTAAGGGTGTGTTTGGGTGATAGAGAGTTTGGAGGGGGAAACTTTGGATGATCAATTTACTTGATGTTTAATAAATTTCGACATTAGGGAAACTTTCTTAGAGTTACTTATAAGTGTTCTAAAAGTTTCAGACTTTCAGACAATATAGCCTTTACATCACCTTCAAGAGTTTCCGCCTTTCCCGACATTATAACAATATAAGCCCAGCTCCTCCAAAACTACTAATTACTCCTTCCGGTCCTTATTAAACTTTACACTTTGACTTCACACATATTAAGGAAATAAATTTGACTTTACTGTAGAATACACTGTTTGACACTGTTTAGCACTGTTTGGTGTAGATTTTTTGCCAAATAAGGAAGTGTAAAGTTTAATATGAGACGGCCTGAAAAGGAAAGTGTAAAGTTAATTAAGGACCGGAGGAAGTATGTTATAACCACACTATATCATTGTTCATAATCTGCCTCTTTAGCTGGTAACCACATTTTAAGTGTACAGAAAACACACTCTACAAAGCTCAAGGCATTAAACAATTTTTGGTACATAGAAATTTGGTAAATATAATTCATTCTTTTTCTTATGTGGCCAATAATTATTATATACCAGTACTTCTCACCACAAAAATATTCAGTTCATTGACAAGAGCATCAAAATATCAACATTTTTATCTATCAAAATTTTCCCGTTGTTTACTAATATAAACAAAGAATAATTTCACAAATTAATACTCCCTCCGTCCCTCAAAACTTGACCAAACTTTTTTCATTTTAAACGTACTTGTATGGGTAACTCAACAATTTTTAGAGTAACCTTTTTTTTACACAAGGGCAATTTGGTTGTTTAACCAATTTTCTTAAATTCTGTTCTAAAAAGCACAGGATTGTCAATTTGGAAGAGAGAGCGTACTAAAAATGTACACCTATTTTTATCTTTATTCCTCTATTGATCAAGAATGGCAAATCAGAATTGTACTACAAGGATAGATGGAAAATCTATTTTTATTTTTATTCCTTTATTCACATTAAAAGCTTCTCGCCAAA